ACCGTCACCGCGCCACCGCTGCCACCTCGCCGTGCCGCCACCACCGTGCCACTGCCACCACCGACACCCCCTGGGGAACAACGTCACCATTGTCATCGTTGCCACCGTCGCTGTCACCATCGCTGCGTCACCGTCGCTGTGCCACCACTGCCACCCCCATTGTGTCACCACTGTCACCATCACTGTGTCACCGTTTCTGTGCCATCGTCACCATCGCTGTGTCACCATCGCTGTGTCACCATCGCTGTGCCACCACTGCCACCCCCCTTGTGTCACCATCGTCACCATCGCTGTGTCACCCTTTCTGTGCCATCGTTGTCACCATTGCTGTGTCACCATCGCTGCGTCACCGTCACTGTGTCACCATTGTCACTATTGCTGTGTTACCATTGTCACCATCTGTGTCACCGTCATTGTGCCACCAATGTGTCACCATTGTCACCATCTGTGTCCCCATTGTCACCATCACTGCGTCACCATTGTCACCATCTGTGTCCCCATTGTCACCATCACTGTGTCACCATTGTCACCATCACTGTGTCACCGTCACTGTGTCACCATTGTCACCATCACTGTGTCACCATTGTCACCATCTGTGTCCCCATCATTGTGCCACCACTGTGTCACCATCTGTGTCCCCATTGTCACCTCCTCTGTGTCACCATTGTCACCATCGCTGTGTCACCAGTGTCACCTCCATTGTGCCACCATTGTCACCCCCGTTGTGCCATCACTGTCACTTCCTCTGTGTCACCATTGTCACCCCCGCTGTGTCACCACTGTCACCATTTCTGTGTCACCACTGCCACCATCGCTGTGTCACCACTGCCACCATCGTTGTGTCACCACTGTCACCACCATTGTGCCACCACTGTCATCCCAGTTGTGCCATCACTGTCACTTCCTCTGTGTCACCATTGTCACCCCCGCTATGTCACCATTGTCACCACCACTGTGTCACCACTGTCACCCCCATTGTGTCACCACTGTCACCATCACTGTGTCACTGCTGTCCTCTCCACCATGTCCCCTCCGTTGTGTCCCTGCTGTCACCATCGCCGCGTCACCACTGTCACCTCCTCTGTGTCACCATTGTCACTGTCACTGTGTCACCACTGTCACCATTTCTACGTCACCACTGTCACCATCGCTGTGTCATCATTGTCACCACCATTGTGTCACCATTGTCACCACCATTGTGTCACCGCTGTCCCCTCCATTTTGTCCCCTCCATTGTGTCACCGCTGTCTCCCCCACTGTGTCACCATTGTCACCACCATTGTGTCACCGCTGTCCCCTCCATTGTGCCACTGCTGTCACCCCCACTGTGTCACCATTGTCACCACCATTGTGCCACTGCTGCCACCCCCGCTGTGTCACCACTGTCACCCCTGTTGTGTCACCGCTGCCACCCCCGCAGTGTCCCGTGGTGTCCCTGCCCCGCCCTCGATGGCGACACCGTCCCCGTGTCCCCAGGGCCACCCACGCCGTGTCACCGCCCGGCCGCGCCCTGGCTGCCACTGCCACCGCCTGTCCCCTCCCCGCCGGGTCCCCTCTGGGGGGTTGGGGACGTTTGGGGACACCTGGGTCCCTCCTGGGGACACCTGGGGCCATTTCTGGGGACATTTGGGGACACCTGGGTCCCTCCTGGGGACACCTGGGGCCGTTTTTGGGGACGTTTGGGGACACCTGGGTCCCTCCTGGGGACACCTGGGGCCGTTTTTGGGGACGTTTGGGGACACCTGGGTCCCTCTTGGGGACACCTGGGGCCATTTTTGGGGACATTTGGGTCACTTTGAGGACATTTGGGGACACCTGTGTCCCTCTTGGGGACACCTAGAGCCATTTTTGGGGACGTTTGGGGACACCTGTGTCCCTCTTGGGGACACCTGGGACCATTTTTGGGGATGTTCGGGTCACTTTAGGGACATTTGGGTCGCTTTAGGGGATTGGGACATACAAACCCCCCCAAAAATGTCCCCAAGAGCCCCTAAATGTCCCCAAATCCCTCAGATCCCCCCAGATGTCCCCAAATCCCCCCCAAACCTCCTAAATGTCCCCAAATCCCTCAGATCCCCCCAGATGTCCCCAAATCCC